TTCAAAGTGACAAACAAATCATTCAATTAAACAAATTTTCTATCAAACTCGAAAGTGATCTTATAGTCTTTATTGCCATAAGCTAGCAATATTCATGAATCGATAACTCTTACTTAGCCATTTTCTACAAGCATGTGTGCTAGGGCAAGTGGTATTTATAATTGATACACTTAGTACAGATCAATATGTCTATTCATCTAGAGATGATCCTGATCTCCCCAATTGGTTGCTGCCCCATAAGGCAATTATTGGGGTTAGTACCTTCATTGGCAATGAACCTTTGCAAGTGACCCCTTCGAATCAGATTCTCAATCTGACTCTTAAGGTCAAAATAATCATCTGTAGTGTGCCCATGATCCCGATGGAACATGCAATACTTATCTAGAGATCTTTTCGCTGGATCAGACTTCATCCTCTGTGGCCATTTCAAAGACGCATCATCTTAAATCTGTAAGAAAATATGGTCAATTGACGTATTCAGAGGAGTGTAGTTGGCATACTTATCTGAATCCTTCTCACAAGATGTCCTATCGCTTTGGTTAAAAAATGATTTCTTGTATTTGGTTCCTAGGGGCTGACCTTTTCTTATCCTCTCCTTCATTTTCCTTCCGTGCATTCATGGCGTCTTCAGTGTTCATGTGCTTCTGCGTTCTAACCAACAACTCTGTCATGCTGGTGGGAGGCTCTTTTGATAAGGAGAATAGGAATCTGGAGGTTTGAAGTCCTCCCATGAAAGTGGTCAAAGTCACATTGTCGTCCACCTCTTCTACTTACAACATCTCTGTGTTGAATCGGGTGATGTATTCTTGGATCGACTCCCCCTTTTGTTGGCCTACCTCCTATGCTTCTTGCTTGCAATGAAGTGGTTTACAAACTGCTTACTCAGTTTTTCAAATGTGTCGATGATTCTTGACTTCAGATTATTGAACCAAACTTGTGTCGATCCCTTGAGGGTCATGGGAATGGCTCGGCACATGATTTCATTCGGTACAACATGTAGATGCATAAGAACTTGAAAGGTCTTCAGGTGGTCGAAGGGATCATTGGTCCCATTGAAACTTTCGAACGAGAGCATCTTAAACTTGCTTGGCAGGGGGCATTTCATAACGACATGGCTGAATGAAAAAATGGTCTTCCACACTATCTATGGCGACAGGACCTTTCCCCTTCATAGCCTGCATTACATCTTCCATTTTTGCCTTGAGATACTGGATCTGCAGGTAAAAATTGGTAACTTCCTCAGTCTTTCCTTTTATTCTTCTTTTCTTTTCTTTTTTCCTACTTAAAAATCTTCTTTTTGCATTTACGAATTATACATATTATGTAATTTTTTTTCTTTTTCGTTTTACTTAAATTTATCACTATAATTTATGAAGTCAATAGGTTTAATTTTCAGGCATCATTTCTCTCAAAATACAAAGATCTACAACTATATTCAATAAAAATATTAATTACTCAACAATATTTCAGTTCTTAGATTTGTGGAATACTTATATTTCTTATCATACTCATTGATTTACTATATTATTTTGCAATATATTATTTTTTTCTCTTTGATTTGAGCAATCTATATTTGTCATGTTTGTTGATTTTTTTTTTTTTTTAAACACTACGGCTTTAAATTGAAATCCTGGTTCTGCCCCTGGTATCCTTTATATAATTTTTTTATATTACTAGCTGAACACATAAATGTCTCTTTGGGCTCTTAAGGGTCCGTTTGGCAACCGCTTTTGCTTCATGCTTTTGTTTTGACCCGAATCATAAGCAAAGTTTCTTCTTTAAAGTGTGTTCAATACTATTTCAAAGCTTGTTTAGTAAGTAAATTTGTTACAAGATTTTTGAAAGCAAAAACATGAAAGCATCGGTCTGTTTGGCTAGTGCTTTTGCTTTTGCTAGCGTACTGTAGTGAAACAAAAGCACGAAACATGTTTGGTAATATTTGCTGTATTTTTGAATAATACCAAAGCGCTTTCAAAATTAGGGCCAAAATCGGAAGCATCAAAATGATGTTTTTGTTTGCTTCCGCACTGTAGTAAAGCACTGTCCATAAATAAATAAATAAATAAATTTCTTTCTAAAATGACATTTTTAACTAACTATTCAAATTTCAAACTTGTAATACTTTTTAGTAAACATGATTTCATGTTTTTGCTTCTAAAAATCTCGTAACAAATTTACGTTACCAAACAAGTAAAAACATCTCTGTTTCGGATCAAAACAAAAGTACAACGCAACCGTGGTTACCAAACGGGCCCCATTTTTATGCTTTTGATTTTGACATCTTTTTCGAAATCATGTACTTTTACTTCGCTACGGTATACTAACAAAAATAAAAAAACACATAATAAAAAGCATTCCTCGAACAGGCCTCAAGCGAACATAATGATTTTAGTTTGAGAAGGGGCTATATATTAATTGGCGTTTTCGCGCGCTTATGGAGTGGATGCTATACAAACTGAAGTGTTATATACAGTGTCCAAACATATTGCAATATTTTCCATGTTGGAAGATATATCTCATGGTATAGAATTTCTTTTGCAGCGTTATCAGGTTGAATTTCAGACGACTACATACATGTATTTATATATAATGCTAAACTTATGGTCCAAATGACTTGTACCTTCTCTTTCCTACTGACTCTAATACTTGATTGTCGCTTTTGTTGACCTCTCTTCACTATTTGATTTGGTATTTGCCTTCACAGTTTCCTCCTCAGATGCATCGAAATTTCTCTCTCTCTCTCTCTATATATATATACACACACATATGCACCTTAATAATGTTCAACAAACCATGATAGTGAATTCTCAAAATTACTTCTATCTGTCTCTCTGTGTTTGGTCAATGAAACTCATCATCATCTTGTCAACCATAGCTGCGCATGGTCTTATACAGATTTGAAAGAGAATACCAAGACAATGATTATTATTATTTGATGGGGACATTATATATATATATATTATATGGAAGTGAAATGTCCCCTTATAAAATTCAAAATAGATCAACATCAAGAAATTTGCACCTTAATTCATGGAGTGCTATACATATATAAGAAATGAAAGCATGCACCTTAACCATTCGTAGTTGAATCGTGGGTCCAAAGCACTTTCAGGAGAGTACGTACGTACTGTAAATTACATTTGTGTCCGGTATAAAATAGATGGACATCACAAAATCTAGTGAGGAGAAGAAGACATGATGACGTATATGTTATCCCCAATATATTTATTTTGATTGTATATATATGTTAATACTGAAGAGGTTGTCAAGATCACTAATCCTATTTTGGAATGCATCATATATTACTTGCACCATATATACTCCCCTAAGACAAAAAAATAAAAAATAAAAAATAAAAGATATTCCCATTATAAGATAACCTTAATACATCTTTGATATATTTATTTCTTAATTCCACAAAACATATAGTAATAAAGGTCCAAGTTGTTCTCAAGAAGTGCCAGATAAGGAGAAACAAGAAGCATATATGATTGATGATGAGCTCATTAACAAGGGAAGGGGTTAGATCGGAGTTGCATATATTCTTTGAAATGGTGATGATCAGAAAAGGACATTCACTTGGGTTATTATAAGCTTTTTGAATTTTGATAAAGATAGTGGAATTGAGCATATGGCGTGATGTGATGATGGGAGCATTTTCTTCTAAAGCTACAGCCACTTCCATCCCCACTTCACTTTGATGGAGGAGAGAATTCTAAATGCCTTCAATAAAGTTATATACCCAACAAAATTATTGCCAACATAACAAAACTATTGGACCACCTTGACCTTCATTTATACCCCCAATTTCTTTCTACCCATTTCACCTATTAATTAATCGCCACTTCAAAATGCACTTTTACATTTATGGAGAAACGAATAAGGATATATATGTATATATACATATTTTTAACATATAATAAACTCCCACAATTTTTTTTTGGGAGAATTTGAATCCTTTCGCCGAGAAGAGATGTCACCAAACTACACGTATTGATTGAAAAAAGAAATAGTGAACAAGAATCAATTCCCGCTTGCGCAACATATTAGGAAAATAGGATTATAGATAATTTTAATAAATCGAAAAAGATACTGTCTAATACATTTCATAGACAAGGGTTGGAGTTCGCATTTTGTTCGGTGTAAGTGTGGCTACTCAAGGTGGAGCCTTGACCTAAATGGATTGCTAGCTTGCCAAGACCCAAGAAGGATCTAATCTTTAGTGGTTTGATTGTCTGTGCATGGGCTTGGTTAAATAGCCAAACTATATCCCAAATGGCAAGGAAAAAGCCAATTCTAAATGATCAGGAGGAGATTGTGAAAAGATTGAATTCTCTCTTTCTTTTTGCTCTTTTCTACCTTGGTGATATGAGGACTTTAAACATACTTGTAAAATGCAATCAAAACTTCGTTACATGAGTTGGGACGTCATTTTATTTGGCTCAATTTAACTCCATGTTGGTCTAAACAAACACCCTTTTGGATGGCCTAAATAGCATTTAGCCCGTAATAGTTTTTTTGTTATAAGGGGAGACTTGTCTCACATCGGATTTGAATGGAAAATGAAATAGGTATAAATGAGTTAAGTGTTAATCCCATCTATCAGCTTAAGCTGTTGGGTTAGATTGAGAAACACTCACTCGTTACAATTGATATTAGAATCAAATCCAGTACTATTTATTTTACGGTCAACTTCAACAATGTTCATCCTATATGACTAGGATTTATGTTGAACTGGACATAGATTTTTTGGACCTTTCGTCGTATTAGTTTCAGACAAAGTCTGGAAACAATGTGGGCTTACAGTTCTATTAAGTAATGTAAAGGCCAGCCCGTGTGATAATACAGGCCTTAACCTTTTCACTCTGAGAGACCAAACTCCAAACCAAAACAAAATATGGAGCCCATAGATTGCCACATCAGACGGGACTTATAGCATATTAGCAACTATGCATAGGCAACATCACTGAGCGCCAAGTGCTGCCACGTTATCAAGACTCAGAATTAGCCCGTTGCGTTTACTTGGCACCTGCCAGTGTCATTCTCACGGATCAAAGAGAATACCCTCTGAAAACTTCTAGGTGAGAGAGACACACACACTGCTGACTAAGCGTTTGACAACTATTTGGACTATTTCCTCGAGCTATTTTGCTCTAGTGTTGTTAACAAACAAAGAAACTCTGAAACTAGAAATTTTTTTTTTGGAGAGATCATGGAGGAGATCTCATAGAAATATTTCTCAAAATTGATTTTCTTTTCTGTGTTGGATGATGGGTTGGAGATACAATGCTGGGTTAGGCTTGATTGGCACTGTTGTAATCATATGGGTTGCCTCTGCAGAGGTTACTCAGGTTAGAGGACTTTTTTCTCTCTCTATGTGTGTGTATATATGTATGCTTCCTTCCTCTTGATTGTTTATTAGGTTCTGTTTTCCTTTGTTGCTGGGATTTTTTTGACAGTGACTAGCCAATTAATGTGTTGAATTTAGTATGCAATTAACCTCATAGGGTTCAAAAGACATGTGAATTTGGTTGATAATTTGAAGTAAAACCCTGTTTGGAAATTTGATAAATTTTGTTTTGGTCTTTGAAATTTTACGGGATTCTGTTATTACTACTTCTTTGGGGGTATTATGGATTGGATTTCCCACCCCCCTTTCTCTCTCTCTCTCATTTTCATTGGTTTTCTATTGTGATGATTTTATGGACTTTTTGCAATTGCAAGGACTTTGCATGTGTATTTGTTTACTACTTTAACCATTCAAATTTCTATGGATTTGAAATCCACTTAAGGAAACCATATATGTCACCTAGTCGGCATACTTTGTATTTATGCGGTTAAAATTAGGTTAGGACTTTTCCTTCTTTGTCAAATTTTCACTCAATACATTGTACTAATCTCTGAAATAACTATAGTAATTCATACCTAGTGTTGTATTCTTTTCGTAGGAATTTGGATGCGTTATCAGGGAAATTGCTAGAACAATACATTTCATGTTACTGACAAGATTTTTCTTGCATTACTTTCGGTATACGCATGCTGTGTTGTGTATAAATTCTTCTTATCTTTCTCTTCTTTGTAGATGCCTTTTCTAATTCTTAACTCATTTCAATGAAATAAGTTATGTCAGTAGATAGTTCTTCTCACTGAGAGAGGACGCTTCTAAATGGTTGGATTGCCATTGATGATGCTACTCATAGGGAGCTAACACTAAAGTGCCTGCAAACATCTGATTAGTCTAAATAGAAAAATGATTTTCAGAGTAGGAAGAAGACATTTAGAATACTTTATTAGAGATCGATGTTATTCACAAGTTATTGACCTTGTAGAAGATTCTAGCCTAGCTAGCTCAACTTACCAAAGGACATCTTCATCCATCACCCGCCTCTTCCAGAATAGATTACCATCCCGTGCAAATTAGCAGAGAAGAATAATAGACTGTATATGTCCTTTTGCTTGTAGAATACCACTAACAACATGGTGAAATAGTAAAACATATTAGTTCAAAATTTTTATGCCCTTTCCCAATTCCAAGTATGTAACTCCCTTAAAGTGATACATATAAATATACCATTTTTGAGGAGCATTAAACAGTATTCAATTCTTTACCTGCACGCATTGTAGGTTTTGTCATGGGAACAAAACAAATCATGACAGTTCAGTAAGAAATTGCTAAGAATATGACACTTAGTCCTTTGCTTAGAAGCACTGGCAAAGTGCAAACAACTGAATGTGCTAAGCTTTTGACACTAATTCAGTCCTTTTCTTAGAAGCACTGCACAGTGACGGAGCTAGGAATTTTCTTTAGTGGGCCCAACCTTGAATTCTAATAAGATTATAAAAAATTTGAACCAAAATAATGAGTACAAAAACGTAAATGTTGATTCATAATATTTCCTTTGAACACATTTATAATGGTTATGATGATTTTTCATGTTTTGAATACTTCGCGTGATAACTATCAGTGTCATTAAATATAATCTTTCTTAATATCTATAATGAAATATGGATTTGTTTTGTTGTATTTTCTGTGGTAAAAATAAATAAAATGAATAAATAAAAAAGAACTAGACAAGCAACAAAAGCCATTGGGTGAACCTAGTCACCGAGTCACTAAAATATGCTTCTTCCTCCCTTCTTTTCCTTTTCTTCTTCTCTCTCTCTCTCCCCCTCTTCTTCTTTTTTATTTTTTTGGTCTTTGCATTGAGCTTTTAAGACTAAGGTTCTTTTACAATCTATGGGGGCCTTTTGCAATATCAAAATATAGATATGCAAATATAAAATTACAAAAAAGTTGGGTTGGGGCAGCTGCTCCCACCGGACCAAATGTGGCTCCACCACTGATGGTGCCCCATAATTGAATGGAAATTGAACAGTCGATCCATCTCTGCTAGAATTTGAAGATAATATTGATGCTTTTTTTTTATAATTATTATTATTTTTTTAATTTTTAAATTAGAACATGGAGATTTGAAAAGACCTAAAATATTATTTTAACAAATTTTTAAATGGACAGAGATTCGTCTTCTTTCTTTCCCCTTGATATTGAAAAGAGGACATGAAGATTCATGGAGCAAATGATTTCAAAAAAAAAAATTAATAATAATATATTCAACAAATTAGAGTATTGATGCTATTTTGGGTGATGGATTGAGATAGGGGGGACTTGGGTTTGATTGACACTATCATGTTCACGTGGGTCACCCCTATATGTTACTCAGGTTGGTCATTGATCTTGTGGGTATTATGTATGTCTAGTGCTCAATTGTTATCTTTTCATAATCAATGAAACTGACTTTCTTTCTTCTATAGCCTTCATATCCTTCTGAAATCATCTCCTTTCCTCTTTTACCATTCGATCGTGAAATCAACCTCAAATCGAGTACGATTAGGGTTTACCGACACTCAAGATGTCAATTCCTACCAACATCAACTGACCGTGGTCTTACATCAGAACCAATCAAAAGGGTTCAAAACATCATTTTATATTAATATTTAGTTAATTACATCGTTCAACGTGATATCATAATCCATCCTTTGAAATCTAATGCAGTGTGGGAACTCCATTCTCTTCCAGAGGAAGAGTTACTGACCTTCTTTAACCATTCAGTAAACTTTAACCATGTTTTACAGCATGCCACCTTATTTAAAGATGCCAGAAAGTCCTAAAGATACATATGCCCTTCTAAACTGGCCAAGACAAACATTGTAACCTAATAAGATCTAGATTACATAAAAAATTAAAGTTCATGAGCTACACTTGGATGGGTTGCAATTCGAGAGAAACTCTTAATCCAGCTCAGAATTCAACTCTTACAAAATTATAAACTTAACCAAAATAGCAATTTTAGAACACCAACCTCTATATATAAACAATTAGCAACTAATAAAAAAATTCTAAATTTGTAGTATGGCTAAACTAATAATCCTGAACCAGGAATTGAAAATAGTAAGACCAGAGGCTGAACACTTACTAAATCTAGAATCCAAATAGTCCTACTCCATACAATTACTATTATCAGACAAGGCATGAGTTTCTTTCCCCACTTGTTGCTAATGCATAATAATTGTTTCTTTGAGAGGATTTTGTGACCATACCAGTGGTCAGTAATGATAAGATTTACAAGTCTGTGAAGCCCATTGGCACAACTTTTAAGAAACTTATGTGTAATCTTAAATGCCTGTGGTGGACAGGACTCACATTTTGTTGTGTAAATTTCTGATGCCACTTACAATTCACATTCTATCCTTTTATGCATTTTAAGGATATGATTTATTCTGATTAAGATTCAAAATTCTTATGAACACTAATGTGTTGCAGAAAATATTTGTGGAGTATAAACAGCCATTTGCACTTACCTATTTGGGGGCCTCTCTTATGGTGATCTATCTTCCAATAGCAATTTTTAAAGATTGGATCTGCAGCATACTGGACACAAATTTGCTTGAGAATTTTTGCAATGGCAGTCCTATCGTGAGCTCTTCAACTGGACTAGATATTCCTCTTAGAATCGACGAATTTCATCATGGTACTGGAACAAGTATGAAAGGCTGCCTAATTACTGACAAGGACCTTGGTGAAATGGAAGAGGGGTGTCCTCTAACATATAATGTGCTTGATCAAAGTTGTGAGCGTAATTGGTGGGAAATTGCCAAATGGAGTTTCTATCTTGCTCCTATATGGTTTGTCACAGAGGTAAAAGTATTTGATATTCTGTTTTATATTTTAAAGCAACTATCATTGCAGTGAAATCTGAAGATGCAAGCAAGGATATCCATGTGATTTGTAGGGGTGGATTCTCTTACAGAACTACCTTTTGATATGTAAGTAGCTAAGTTGTCATACAGCCTTTGGAACAATACTGAGATCTCGTGTTCAACTCTTCGAGGCATCCACCAGTTGTTTGGTGGATAATTGCGGGTATCTCAAAAGGGATTAAAAAAAAAAAAAACAACAACAACAACAAACAACAAAAGGAAAAAAATCTCACTAGGAAAGAGTACCTTTAATTCTTTCTTTTCTTTCCTCTTTATTTATTTTTTTCAGGGGGTGGTGGATTGACTTTAACAGGTAGAAAATTTTAAGCGGATTCTACCTGCACCAATTAAAGAGGGATGTGAAGAAGTTCCATATTCATAATAAGAAATATATTTAAAAACAAAGAGGCCTGTAGGTTACTGATGTTTCGAACTGTTTATGATTACTCTTCATTTCATTTATTTGTTTGAAAGTAATTTATTGCAGATAATATTAAATTGACCCTAAAAATTCATATGGCGTTTTATCCCATGCACTTGAGCTGGTCTGATGCAGTGTGCTCTTGGACTATCCTCAAGTTCTGATTGATGCCAACTTTTCAGTATTTGAATACTCTAATAAGTTTTGTAGGATGATCTTTAGGTTACCCGTAAGAGACCGCTTATAATAATAGCTTTATGTGACTAGTTATAATGCTTTAATGCAATGCAGTATTTATCGAACTCTGCACTGGCAAATACTAGCGTTGCAAGTACGACTGTCTTAACTTCAACATCTGGCCTTTTCACACTTTTCTTTGGAGCGCTTCTCTGCCAGGACTCTGTAAACATTTTAAAGGTTGTTGCTGTTTGTATTAGTATGGCTGGTGTTGCATTGACTACAGTTGGAAAAACTTGGGCCTCTGATGAAATGTTGAGCGCCTCTGAGTAAGTTAAAATTTAATTGCTTCGCTGTAATAATTTCTCACATGATGTCATGCTTCTTTCCACACCTATATCCTACCTCTACCATTGTTTTGATCCTGGTCACTTGCAAGTTTAAGCTTTTCTTAAGGAGTTTCATGTGAGTTGATTTGTGTTTATTTGGTGATTTTTTCCCATGTTATGAAATTTTTGGTGCTCCTTTTGTTGGAACTGTTTGGGTGCTTTGTTGATTTCTTTTTCCCTTAGTATCTGGAACACCTAATGTAGAATGCTAATAATAACTGCATTCTCATCCTGTGTTTTGTTTGGGTGAAAACTAGAAAATGATCCGAGGATACTCCGCAAAGGCCATTTAATTCTTACTAAAGTTATGTGATGATGGGATGCCAAATGTGATAACATTTTAAAATCACTTGTCCTTGGTCTAAGGCTAGATTATAGAGAGTGGTGAGGTGGTGTAGGCTTATATACTTTATATGGATTTCTAGATTAGAGCATATTATGATATGATAAGGTCACCTACAATGCATGGCCAGTTTACTTTTCATTCAGTAGATGATGGCATGCAATGTACAGGTTCCATTCATTGTTGAGAAGCATGTTTAAAGTGAATAATCCAATGCAAGTTCACAACACTCTTATATCATTTTGCTGGAGAACAATGACCTATCAGGAACTGATTTATTATTTTGATATTGCCTTGCAAAAATAGACAAAAAGGAAGAATGAGAAGAAAGTCTTGGTATGTCACCAAATTGTATATGGAACCAACCTGTGAGCCTCTTATGAGATTTTATGAATCATTTTAGTACTATTCAAATGCTTTAATACCATATTGAATGGCCTAAATTGTCTGATAGGTGGTCCATAGCTTAATTCTCAACCAAAAAAAAAAAAAAAAACTAATACATCAGTACATCAACTATATCTTCTTGCAGTCATGTTTATTACAGCCAACATAACCTATTTTTTTAGTTTAAGTGAAAGTGTTAACTGTGGTATGGCCTACATGTTGTGGTTTTTGGAGTTTGATCACGTGTTAATTATGTGAAGAATTGGGGTGTTTGAATTTACTGATTTTTTGGTGTTTAGTTGGCTACTGGCATATCGCAACCGGTTCCGCCCTACAGAAACGGTTCTGCGTGTGGCGTTGCAGACTTGGTTTTGGCTACTGCCAAAACACAACCGGCTTACAGGTTCCGTTTGGGCAGTAAGTTACACTACATTAGTGTATGACAAGCGCAACTGGTTGCGTGGTGTGGAACCGGCTGCGCTTCCTTGGGAAGTTGCGAAAATTGCTTTCCATATTGGTTTCTGACTCTACAAAAGGCAAGTCTTGTGGGGCAAGCTGTATTCCTTGGTCTAGGGGACTATTTATACAACCCTAATCAGATTTTAGGGTTGATGTGATGATCATAACGTGAGTAAATGATTAGATTAATTTGTGCCAACACAAGAGGGAACAATTGAGAGAGGTTGAGAGGAAGATTCTCCATTGTAATTCTTCATCTTTTTTATAGTGGAATTTGTTTGATGCGCTCCTTGGACATAGTCCTAAATTTTGGGTGAACCACGTATGTCTTGTGTTCATGTGTGTGATTGTTTTTTTTTTTTTTTTTTTTTTTCTTCGTGATTGCTTGTGTTTATTCCTCGAACATCGTTGTTTTTGGGTTTTGTAATACCCCTGATTTTAAAAGGATAGTCTCGGTATTTTTTAAAAAAAATTATTTTAATTGCATTTAATTATTTAGTTGATTTCTTGGCTAATTGTTTACTTTTAGTTGATTTCTTGGCTAATTGTTTACTTGTTTAGTTGATTTAATTATTTGTTAAATGTGTTAATTGATTTAATTGTTTAAATGAAATTGTGTGTGATGATGTGTATTTATTTAGGAATTTAATTGTTTTATTTTATTTTTATTTTAATATTTTTAGGGAATTGGATATAGATAGTAGTAATGGACCAACTAATTGGGCTCCATGGACTACTTGGATAAGGGGTTTAATGGGTACGGATAATTACCCATGTATATGTATATTTAATAAATAAATAAATATATATATATATAAGGAAAGTCATATATATTTATATATTACATATAAAAAGGATTACACATAGATTATACGTACCATATATTTTAGTTACCTTTTTAGTATTTAGATTTTATTTTATTTTTATTATTAGTTTGGCTTGGATTGGGAAAAGGATTAGTGTTATTTTATTTGACTATAAATATATAATTATAGGGTTGTGAAAGAGGTTAGAAAATATATTACGTACTATATTTTAGAGAGAGAAAGAAGGAAGAGGAAGAAAGAGAAAAGGAAGAAGGAGGTTAGGGTTTTTTATCTAATCCCTAAAGGCAAGTTCTAATTCTTCTCTTCTCCTTTGATTCGTACCCTATGCATGCTAGATTAATTCTAGGTTCTTTAAATAAATTAATTGAATCTAATTACATGAATTTATTTGGAAATTGTATTTCATGTTTTAATAATGGGTTTTAATTAATCTGTTATGCCGAATTGGCACTATTGGTGGCCTTGATTTTTAATTTAATTTAATTTATTTATTTTATTTTACTTGAATTAATACTCGCATGTGTCAGTATTGTGTATATATATATGAAATCAAATTTTGTTCATGCTTAAAGAATGCACACGAAACGAGGGAAAATTAATGAACCAGTTTATATATTAATCGGTGTATGCATATATAGGTAAAGTCATTAGGTGTTTTTGCATAATTTGTGCGCGCCGAACGAGAAAACCATTGATAAGGGATTTAAATAAAAATCAGACTATGATATAAAGGATAATGAGACTTTGTGTTTTGTCATGCACGCCGAACGAGGAAGAACATCACAGGAATGTTTCAGTTTATCTCATTGTATTTGCAATTGAAATTTCACTTCATTTCTAATACATACACGCGGCACGAGGATGGAAAGGTTAGCTTAGAACAATTTGATATTGTGAGAAATTGTTAGAAAGGAATATGGTATATTACAAAAATTAGTGATGCATTAAATATTTTAAAAGTTAGACTAATTAATGTTGGATATTAAACTGAGGCTATTGTTTTGTTATTAAGGAATTTTGTATTAAATATTTATTTATTTAATAGATTCATTAAGAACTGAAGTGCATAATTTAAGTTTACATGTTAAGTATGGGTTTAATTGTAAAAGGATAAATTAATTAAACATGGTTGGGTTAAATTATTTTAATCAATTGTTTAGATTTAAATTAATTTAAACAAGGCATGGAAATGTACAATTTAGTGGAGTTGCATGTTAATTTCTTGTGATGTAAATTAAATGCATGCCACTTAGAGTTGATATTTTGCTCAAGTAAATGCAAAGGATGTGTATATGATTTTTATCATATTTATTTGGATTGTTATATGTAAACATTATTGACATTATCCTTGGATTTGAAATTTTTATTTGATTATGATATGGATTAATGCACCATTATGGGATGAGGGCATATTAGGGACGGATTAACTTAAGAGTTAAGTCCTACCTATTTTAAATAAGGGAACGGATTAACCATAGTATTAAGTCCTACTTATTCGTGTCAGGTCAACGGAATAGTTGGATGACATATTATTAAAATAATAATTGGATAGTTTATTTTGATGATTGGATAGGACGGATTTTATATATATAATTATACGCCATGATATGAGCTTAAGTCTCAGGATCAGTGGTTAGGGTGCGTATATTGCCAGGGATGTGTAGCTAGATATAGCGTAGTTGTGTACCCTGGTAGGTCTAGGTACTCATGCCCACTATATGTGCGTTTTGCATGTTACCTACTATTCAGGTTGAGACAACTCTATAGTCTAGTGAGGTTCCTTTAGTGTGTATATATCTATTTATGGACTATTTAGTTATTGTTGAATTAATTAGGATGTGTACGTGTATCGGGTCTCTGTTTGGGATGTAGTAGATTAGAACTTGTATGTGGGCCTGACCCACCATTATTTTTCAGGTGTTCGTCAGTTCCAGTCTTAGAGATTGTTCGTGCCAAGCAGAGACAGTCATTCACTCTTCCGACTCTACGTAGGACTCTTCTTCATGGTTTAATTATTAGTTTTATTTCAGTTCAGTATTTCAGTTAGGATATTGTTAGGGGTCCACAATATGGATTCCCGAGTTGTAGTTTAATTAATTACTAGTATCCGAGAATTGGAGGATTTTATTATTGGATTTTTAATTATTATTTATTTGAGAATTTTAAAATAAGGATTTATTATTTAGTTTCCTTCAGCTTATTATTTATTTATTTTTAATTCATCTTGTATTCCAATGCTTGTTTAAATATTAATTGTTTGATATCCCTTGTATTCTGTGCTCGGACTTGATCACCCGTGGCTCTAGAATCGAGGGGTATCACAGTTGGTATCAGAGCACTCCAGGTTCAAGTGTCTCTAGGGATCTATCGTTTTAAGACTTCCGCGTAGCGTATTCTTTTATTTAGAGCCTAAGATTAGGATTCGTTGTATTCTTTACGGTTCGGTTAAATCGTACTAATGTCTGTCTTTCTATGTTAATAGAATGGTTAACGCTAGAAGAAGAAGGGACAATCAGAGAAACAGGCAACGAAGGGAGGCGGCTCGTAGGCAGCGTCAGGAGGATGAGGGTCAGTTCTATGAGGAGCATGAGGAAGTTCAGCAGACTCGGGATCAGGGAGGAGATCCAGAGTTTCCTCCTCACATCAATGACCTTATTGCTCGGGCTATAGAAGCAGGGGTAACCGCTGCACTTCGGAATCAGCCTCAAGTACAGCCGGCACCGTTACCGGCACCGGTTGTTCGGATTGATACTTGGGAGAAGGCTAGGAGTTCTTTCACAAAGGGGAGCCCACCTGAGTTCACAGGCTCCACCGATGCGAGAGCAGCTCATCAGTGGAAACAGGACATCGAGCGACATCTTCGCTTGGTTCAGTGCACGGAGGTTCAGAAGCAGATGCTTGCTACTTTCAAGCTAGTTGGGGAT